TAATGAAAAAAGCAAATTCCCCTCGTTCCACCTTAGCTGGTATAACCACTATAGTGCCAGAGTAAGAATTTATTCAATCTGTATAAATTTGAATATTAACATGTATCTTCAAGGGTGATGGAGCTCCTACTCATGTCGATCCCACTCTTCTCCAGAAGGAAGGTCTGAAGAAGTTGAACACCTCTCAGTTCATGCCTCATACATCTACTGAGCTGAAGCAGAATTCTGAACTTTATGAAGGCCTTCAAGAAGTTATGGAAGACATTTTCAAATGGCAACATGAAATGGCAAGCATTTTCTACTGTCTCCTCTATCCAAATTAATGTATTTCTTAGCTGGCTCAACTCCTTCCCAAGGAGTATGCCATTCTTGCTCAATATGCAGATATCTTGCCTGCTGGAGCATTTTCTCCAGTCTATCCATATAGCAGTTTTGTTGTCAACCTCAATGTTACAACCAAGATTCACCGAGACCGCAATGATCTTCAAATGTGCATGGTCCTCAAAATCTCTGACTGTGTAGGTGGCAATCTGTGCTTCCAGGAGCCTGGAATTCGACTTGAATTGAGAAACGGTGATATGGTCATCTTTATGTCTGCCTCCTTATCCCATTTCAATCTTCACTATGAGGGAGAATGAGTTTCCATTGTCTGTCATTCCGATAAAGCAGCAGCAAATTGGATCAAGGACAGAAATGGATGGAGTAATAATATATACTTTCACTACTCAGAGAATGGAGGAGGGATGCTCTAGATTAATTTGATGTACTTTAGTTTCTTTAGAAGTAATACAAGATAGTTCAGCTTTGCAAGTTGCCCGGGCCGATTTGTGAGAAATTTGTCGGTGAACGGAACATCAGCAGCCAGCTCATCAACTTCTCTTCCAACACTATTCTCTTGTTTCCAGTGTCAACATGTTCTCTCAACGCTCTTCTGCACGTCAAAAAGCAAAAGCGGCTATTACCTTGTCTTCTCAGGCTCAGAAGAAGGCTGCTGGAGATACAGCCAGTGCTGGTAAACAGAAGGACAAACCCAAGTCAGCTCCTGCACAAACGTCCAGGGCCCCTTCTTCTAGTTCAAGTAAAAAGGCCAGTGCTGAAATTCCTCAATTTTCAGCTGCTGAAATGGCCAAGTATCAGGCCATGTCACGAGCTTTTGAGGCACAAGCTGTTGCTGCCAAGGAGAAGGAAGACGAGAGTGTGTTATTCTTTTTTCTTTAGAACTTTATATTAAACTATTATTAGATGCACGTAAAAGAAATCAAGCTATGATTGACACTGAAGAAGGCGATGAAGATGAAGATGCTGCTATACCTCCTAAAAAGAAGGCGAAAAAGAAGACTTCAGTCAAGGACACCTTTCTTGACCCTGAAGAAGAGGCTCTCGCTTCCAGTCTTCATTTGCCTACTCAGGTAGAGCCTGAGCCTGAGCCTGAGCCCGAGCAGGAGTCCAGAGTCAATGTGGACCTTAGTCTCTCAAGCCCTTGTGCTAGCTCTCCTTATAGTGGTATAGGTACCGGTGTATCTTCTAAGTGGTGGCATTATGAGGCCATTGGATGTGGCGTTAGCCAGGATCCCAATGCGGAGTGGACTGAGAGTGAGCGTCAAGCTTTCCAGGCCCACTTAAACAAATTGAACAATGTATGTATTACTTCTATTCACGACACTGTCTAATCTTGTATAGCAGATGATTGTCGAAGATATCACCATGGAAAAGGCTCAAGACAGTGCTCCTCCTCCTCAGTCTCAATGCCCAGCAACCCCTACTAAGAAGTCCAGTGGCAGGATCCTGGAGGGAGACTTTACACCCTGTTCTCAGACTCTCGCCATTGCTGGGAAGACTTACATGAGAACCTGTGTTGTCTTTGGCGATATCTATCCTCCTCCAGATGCTATTAGTCATTCTACTTTTAATTGGGAAGTTGTGAAGGAGGCCGTCAAGAATTCAAAGGATGAAGCCTTGAAGGAGACCTTGAAGCATGTTGCAAAGGATGGCAAAGTTAAAAAGGATGTCATGGCCTTCGTAAGTATTTTCAAATCCTTTGCATTGTTTCTAATACTTTATATCTCCTTTTTTATAGGTTACTTATGGTTGAACTGCCATGCTCTCCACTATCATAAGCAGCACTCAAAGTAAGGTGGTCTCCAACTACCGTCTTCATGGAGTGAAAGGGGAGATCAAGGACCATGTCCGCTGGCTTCTCGTGGAAGCAAACTTTATGTATGGTGGAATAGATATAGAGGTATGTGATAATTTTAATATCCAGCTGACTCTAATGTATTGTCAACCTTCAGAAATGAACATTGGATCCTACAAAGCCCTTTGGAGCCCCCATGATTGAAGAAATACTCAAAGTCTTGTGGTTCACTCCGTCAACACATAGCAAACTGGATGTCGCATCCACTATGAGGATGGCAAAGGATGAAACCATTCCTGTCTCCCTTATTCTGCTTGTTTCGACTGCAGTAGAGTTTTCAAATTTGTTTATAGATATTTTACTGAGCCCTTACTCTCTGAGAAAATGCTCAAGTCTGATTCAACGTTGAACCTTGCTTTGAAAGACAATCAGGCAGCTTTGAGTCTTTCGCATCTTTCAGCTCTTTAAAGCATCCTAGAGTGCTCTGGGCTTTCTTAAAGATAACCCCCCTTTTCCTGATGTGAGTCGATTTCATGAGTTGAATGTGTTTGTTGGGTGCTGATCGATTGTTCCTCTTGATTCAGGTGGAGGTGCTGAGAGTGAAGATTATTTGAAGATTAATATTTATGCACCTGTCGGTGCAAAACGTGGTAGCAACCGTATGTCTTTTTCTTTCTCTGACGACCCAATCTCAACAATCCCCAGTCTCTGTTCTTTTGTACACCTATGGCAGAGTCATGTCTCCTCCTGCTCTCACGCCGCCGCCATGAAGGCTGCATCTATGACAGCCCATACAACTCGCCATCCGACTCATGGATCCACCAAAGCCCCATTATCATAATTGTCGCTGTCTACTGCCGACTCCCAACTCTCCTCCTTCTGCTTCCTACCCACACCTGCCTTCCGCAACGGTTTCTCAACAATGTGCAGGCCCTTCTGAGTCAGTGTGTGCAAGAGCACATTGTGGGCTTCAGTAGTGATAAGAAGGATCAGCGGGGAGAGCGGGCGGGGTGTCACTCTTGTCGTCGAGGAAGGGAAGGAGAGCCTGTTTAGGGGTGCGATTGCATGGAGTGTGTATAGGACACAGGTACTGCTGCCGGTGTAGCAGCAGGTGAGGTTTCTGCGCGGATTTTTGAAGGTTGATCTGATGATTGAATTATTGTAGCCGCTGGTCAACTTTCAGGCGAGGCAGGTGGGATGTGGTCGAGGATCAGTGGCCGCCCATGTCGCATGTTTAAGGAAAGCAAGTGTTAGTGTTCTAGCAAGGGCACAGGATGCGGCTGGCTCATTAGCGTTGTACGTGTCTCCTCTATCTCCAGGTCTCGAGTCTTTTTTCTTACTGATCTCTCAAGGACTGCATCAGGCTGGAGGCCATTTCATCCAGTCGTGGATGGCAGGGCGATCATGGACTACCTGACCAAGCTGACCCTCCAAGGAAAGTTTGCGAAGCTGCCGCTGATGGTTGGGTATGTACCCTCGCTACGAACCTTGCCTGATTATCGCGGACAGAGCAACAGCCAACAAGACTCTATCTGAAGGAATCGACATCGCAGCTGTGATGAGGGTGTTCTTCCCTTCAATCTTGGATGGGGACATCCAGGCTGTTGGGTCGAATTCTCCATTATTGCAAGCATACCTGGTGCTCGATTTCACCTCCTCTCAAGATCTGAAATTCCAGACAATTACGGGCAGCTCTGAGTTTGGATGCGCCGGGAGCTGTAGCGCCCTTGAAGCTCTCACAGTGGTACTTGTCTCAATAATCAGCAAATGATAATGGGGGGCAATTTTTGGAATGGTGACACAATAATGGACCTTTTGATATAACCAATGGACAACTGGAGCACCAGCAGTGTACCATGCGTCCGAGGACTACATAATGTTCCAGGGTACCAGCACAGGGTATGTTGAATCTGCCTGCCCTTTTGCTCCTCCATCAGTTTCTGATGACGTTCCAGATTCAATGGAGCCACGACCTTTCACCCTCTCTCAGCAACCAAATGAAGCCTTTGCAGAGGAGCTTGTAGCATACTGGCTTCCGTTCTTGCGCTCAGGTGACCCAAAAACTTTCAAGCTTCCCCGATCACCCGTTTGGAAGCAATACACCCCAAAAGCAGCAAGGATGATTCTGAAAGCTGGCCCAGAGGCTGATGACGGTCAAGCAGCTGTGAGTAGGAGTAGGCTAAGGATGACAAGGAGAGGATGAGATGTTGGCTTGTTGCGAGCCAGATTCGAGATCAGCAGAATTGAAGGGGAAAAGTGAGGGAAAGTGTGCACTTTTTGTATAGGAATTAGGACTCACGCCACCCAAGCACATGATCCAACACATTGCATAGAGTTGATGCAGACGCTTGAATGTAGATTACTTATTATCACTAGTATCCCCACCCCCGCACCCTGCACTATGAACCAATTCGAGACCCAGTTTTCTATTCCTGAACTCCAAGATGTCCCCACCCTCTGACGTCAAGCTGAACAGACTGAACAGACTGAACCTCCAGCTTTTCTCAGACTATCAGATCATTCTCGGACAGCAATAGCAGAACATTTAGCACATGTCGGCCTCAACTATCATCGTTTCAATTACTCTGTAAAGGAACAATGTAAGCAAGGTCCCTGCCAAGCTTTTTGATTAAATTAGACTTTCAATCCCCCATGTAGGTGATGCTCTCGTGCTGTTCGCGCAGCTGCACCTCTATCTTCCCAAGCACGGGGACCGGGATGTGCAAGAAAAATATTCAGTTCAAAAGAGCTCCTCAAAAAAGCTATCTAGAAAGGGAGGAAAGGAACACCCTTGGCAGCGTGTAACAAGAACATATCAATGCCAGTGTGGAGTCGATCACACTGTTGGGCAGCTAGCTTCGAAAGATCGCCAGATACCATGGAAAAATGTGGGCTGCCTGAGCTATATTAACCTTATTACAACCCACACCAACGATTCTGGTATCTTTCCCTTGATTTCATCATGTTTTCCACAAATAAACGCGCATATATTTAGATGCCCGAATGATGGCCATTGACGAAATCTCGGGAATCATGGACCATTCTGAGGCTTGCACCCTACAGATCGAGATGGAGAGAAATCCTCAGCTACCACTCCATCCTGAGCTTTGGGACTACGCGCTGGCACTTCTCTGCGAGAATTCTCCTCTCAGCTTGCTTCGCTCTTGTTGCTCGGATTGGGCTGAGAAGAGGTGGCCTGGTGAGGTTGGAACAAATTCAGCCCGCTATCGTTTAACCACACACGATGCCTCATCTCTCTATCAGTCTATTTCAAAAGAACACGGAATTCTGCAATGCTCTGCTGCTGAGGAAAACCTAGATCTGTGGTTCCGAAAGGAGAAGCCTCATCCGCCATCATCCCTGCTGCCCAACTCATGCCTTCACTACCAAGCCCACAAAAAGCCTGAGACTGACCGCTTTGAGATCGTTCTGGTGACCCTGGATATGCACAAGGCTGCCTGGAAGTATGGACACAAGAAACAGGTTCTTATGAATCTCACTTTCAGATTCTGCTCAGCGTGGGCGCTCTTGGCAATCTTGATGGCCATTGACAGTTCTGGATCTGGGGTACCTATTGCGCTCATAATATTCACAGCACGTGAAAGTGCTCAGGCCATACATGCAGACTATGATACTGCTGTTCTGGACCGACTTCTTGCACACTACAAAAAGGGAATGGGCACAGACGAGCATGGAGAAGAATTCGATATTCAGGTTGCTGGCACTGATAATGACCCATGTGAACAAGGAGCACTTTCCAAAAATTGGGCAACTGTCTTTCTCATTCTCTGCATGTTCCATGTTTGGCAGGCTTGGCATAACGGGCTCAATCACTACCTCCGCTCAATTCCAAAAGGAGACACCTGGCAATCTGTTCAAAAGTGACTTGGCAAGCTCTTGATGCAGCTTCTCAAAGACATCTCAGTCTATGAAATGGCCATCTCCGTGTACGATGCAGAACTCGCTCACTGGTGGTCAATTCAGCGCAAACACGATCATCTTTCCAAGTCACAGGGAAAAGCTGCAGTTGCATTCCTTGGCTATCTCAAGAGTTACCTTGAAAGCAAGCTGTACTGGATGTCTTGGTTGCCAGCGGGAGCAATAGAGGCTTTGCGCTGACTCAGAATACCTGTTTTGGAGGTAGCACGCACAACAAATCATTTGGAATCCTTCAATGGCTGCATTAAGGGAAAATATTACAAACCTTATCAACACTCCAGGCGCTTACCACAGATTGACGTTTGGATACTTCTGGCAATCACCACCATCATGCCAGACTTCTTCAAGGAACACAAGGACAAAGCCAACATTCAAGCACATTATGCCAATCTCCACATTCTTGGTCCTTCCGCCCCCTCCAGCACATCTCAGATCAGTTCAAGAAATGCCTTGGCTGATGAAGAATTAATTTTGCAGTGGCTCTCCAAGTTGGAAGAGGAGCCTGACAATGCTGACACTGATGACAAGGACAGCTCTGACGCCGACTTGGATTTAGAACCATCTCCATTTAATTCGACATCTTCCTCTTTGGTCACAGATCGAGCTTTTTGCCATGAAGAAATGACTGTCTCGTCAAGCATAGGCATTGAGGAGCACAGCCTCCCAGGGTTTTCTCATCAGGTAAGCAGCTCACTATCCATAAAGAAAGTGCTGACTATACTCCCAGCCCCGCGTCACTAAACATGACTGCAACTCAGAAGAAATTGTCCTGGACTCTTGCACCAAGTCTGAAGAATCTATTAGCCAAGACAATGACATCAGCATTCACCCAATTTTGGGTGAGATCGCAAATCTCTCTACTACCTGTGCCCAAGAAAAATCCGATTCATTCACACACCAGAGATTGCTCACCCTCCCACCTCAGCTGCCAAGCGCCAAGTGCTGATCTGAACAAGAAATCAATACCATCAGGACATCAATGATTGAGCTTCAGCAGGCTGAAGACATTATGCTGAAGGCAATCCAAAGAGTACTCGACCTCTCACCAGAGTCAGAACCTCAACTTGTTAAGTATATCAGTCCTAACATTCAAGAACAGCTCAATCATGGTGAAGGACATTCAATTCAGACTTCTTTCAATGCAGAAGAAGTGGGAAGTCAACCTTGTGCTGATGGCCTTGTTCCTTTTATACCTGGGAAGAAAGAAGCTCGAAAACCATCATATAAGATTTGCTAATGTATTTCTGAGCTAGCATAACTGTAGTAATAATATGGGAAGACCCTGGAATTGGGAATGATTGCACCGCAGGCTGCAAGGGGGCTTGGAGGGATTGCATCCCCCAATGCTAGCACAGCGGAAAGGCTAGCACAGCGGAAAGGCAGCACAGCAAAAAGGCAAGCGCAGCAGAAAGGCAAGCACAGTGTAAGGGCCAGTGCAGCAGCCAGGCAAGGGGGTATGGGGAATTCCCCCCACGGGGTTTGGGGTATCCCCAACCACTGCGGCCGGCACCGCAAAGAAGCATTTTCTCTTTTTAACACTATCTACTATACATTTTGTCTACCTACTCTAGTATCCCACAGCCGACTCAGGCACTCGTTCAACCACAGGCATCTAGTGGTGTTTAAATTCAAACTTTGACTTGGGCGGTGTGGGTTCAACCTCCTTTTGTATACACTGGGGTGTTTTTTCTTCATGAAAAATCCAGTGTTTTGAAAATCCCCACAAATCCTTTGCTGATACCCAACTGATACCATTCGCATCTTCCTTTGCCTTGTACAATGTTTTCATGTTCTGGGATGACACCAGACAAAGATCGCCTGACGTCATTATTTATTGTTGTGTACACGCATGGTTTGTGAGCCCCTGATTGGCTGTCACCTTTCCTACTCGTCGTCAACCAGCCATGTCAGCTAAAAATCTATATCAAACCCTGTGTTTAGCCAGTGTGACCTCACATGTCCAGACTGTGTTTGAGCAGTCAGGTTTTCCGAGGCTGCTGGGGTGAGTTTGCCGGGGATGCTGGGGCCATAGGGATTTGTTTGGGGGCGGGAGGGGGTAAATAAATGACCAAACAACCCTCCCGGGGGTGGGGCAGGGGTAGGGTAGGCCTGTGGGAGGGGGGGAGGCATGGGAAAGGTGTGGGAAATCTGTCTGAAACAGGCAGGGATGGTGGGGGATGCATGATAGGGGCTAGTGGGATGGCAGGATGGGTTCTGGGTGCGGCGGGGGCCCAAAAATGGGTTGGGCAGGGCTAGATATGCATGCTCATAATTGTCATGGCCCCCACGGGGTGCGGGATGGGCTGGGGGAGCCAAAAACGCGAAAAATCCAGAGTCTTTTGCATTTTTAATACAAAACAATTGAATACCAAATCGAAAACTTAATATTTCGTCATGAAACTTTGGGGACCTTTGTATCTATAGTGGAGGGTGCTTCATAAATATTTTGAGTATTTATTATGAATTATGGGGTGCGCCACACAGCCAGGAATAGTGTGCGCGGCGGGGTTTGATGTGCTTTGCCAAATTTGGCAATATTGTGATGGGTGCACATCCGTGCATAATTCCGGCTCCCCCTCGCATTATTTCACTTAGCTTTGGCTGAGCTAAATGTTGGGTACACTGACACCTTTCTGTAGACCCTTCGATCGTGTGAAACGGGTAAGAACTCGTTGAGATATGACAAACGCGATTTTGGCTATTACAATGCATGGTGCACCCATGCATCCTCAGGTGTGTTTAGGCCCATTTAAGTTGGTCAAAAATCATGGAATACATGTCTGAGAGTAATAGTACCATTGATAATGCAAGGGGGTGTCTGGGTGTAGTATATCTGAGGGGGGTATAGGTACACCAGGAGACCCACTCTGGATACCCCACTAGACATACCTCTGAAAGTCTGAAAGTTGGTATGTGAATAGTACATATTTATTCATGAATTTGACATATTTTAACATATTTTTATATTGCCTGGAAGTTGGGTTATTGACCGATTTCCAATGAGCTCAGATATTCTATTGACCTCCAGGAGGGGGGATATTGGCACATGTAAAATTATGATAAATGACGATAAATGTATAGAAACAGATCTAGGTACTTGTGAGGGAAAGGGGATGATTCTGTGTAAAGTTATCAAGAGAAGAAGGATGAGGTAGTCCCCCACATGAGGATCTATCTATATACTTGCCATATCTGTGTATCACACCCATTAAATGGTGCATTCGGGTCGGGATAATGTCTATTAGCATATTTCAGTAGTGACTGATGAGGCTCTGATGCATGGGGGAAATGTTATTAGAGAAAGAGCTGAAAATGTGCGAAAAATACGAAAATAATTAAAATGGGTACCTCGGACTTGTTCAAAATTACCAAACTTCGAATATGAGGACCTATTAACATTCTAAAGAGATTGCAAAAGACCGGATGAGATTCCGACCAGTAGGTGGAAAGATATGCAAAAGGGTATCCAAATGACAGTAAGAGCATCAACATCCTGTAACAACTTTGTGTTGCATCTGGTGCTTTTGGAATTCATCTTGCATATCTTTCCACCTACTGGTCAGAATCTCATCCGGTCTTTTGCAGTCTCTTTAGAATGTTAACAGGTCCTCATATTCAAAGTTTGGTAATTTTGAACAAGTCCGAGGTACCCATTTTAATTATTTTCGTGTTTTTCGCGCATTTTCAGCTCTTTCTCTAATACCATTTCCCCCAGGCATCAGAGCCTCATCTGTCACTACTGAAATATGTTAAGGGATATTATCCTGACCCGAACACACCATTGAATGGGTGCAATATGTGGATTTGGTAAGTATTTACATAGATACTGATGTGGGGGATTACCTCCTCCTTCTCCCCTTGATAACTTTACACATATTCATCCCCTTGCCTTCACAAGTACCTCGTTCTGTTTCTATACATTTATCGTCATTTATCATGATTTTACATGTGCCAATATCCCCCCTCCTGGAGGTCAATAAAATATTTCAGCTCATGGGAAATTGGTCAATAACTCAACTTCCAGGCAATATAAAATTATGATAAAATATGTTAAATTCATGGATAAATATACACTATTCACGTATATACTTTTCAGACTTTCAGAGCTGCGTTTAGTGGGGTATTTGGAGAGGGTCTTGTGGTGTACCTATACCCCCCCTCATATCTACTACACCCAGACACCCCCTGGCATTATGCAAGCTGCCATTACTCTCAGGCATGTATTTCATTATTTTTGGCCAACTCAAATGGCCCTAAACATGCCTGAGGATCCATGGGTGCACCATGTATTATAGCAGCAAAATTGCGTTCATCATATCTCAATGAGTTTCTACCTGTTTCACGTGATAAGGGTGTCTACTAGAAGGTATTAATGTACCCAGCATTTTGCTTAGCCCAATAATGCAAGGGGAAGCCGAAATTCTGCACGGATGTGCAGCCATCAATAAATTTCCATGCATGAGGGGTAATCCTGTAATATAAGCTGCAATACTGAGCGTGTAAACACGCAGGCAGGCTCATTTGAAAGCTCTATATATTATCTATTGAATTGCTGACCTGCCCCAAGGGTTGGATGCCTGAAAATGGTAGAGAATTGAGTGCGCTTCTTTGCTATTTTTAGAAAATGCGCTCTATAAGGGAATAGCATAGTCAATACTGCATGCACAACCAATTTTAAGGGGTAAAATTAAAGGTAATACACTACCCTAAATTATCACATAGGTTATTTGAGTCAGGGGGGCATGAGAGGGGGCACATTTGGTGCGCATTTTCGCTTTTTTGGTGTATAAACCACTGTTTGCACCATATCTTTACCAGAAACAGGTCTATCCTGATGTTCTTGGCATCTACAGAAAGCTAAAATTATGTATAATATTATCGCATAATTGTTTTGTTTATTAAGAGGTGTGGTGTAACGAAATAAGCCATGGATGAGGCCAGCAGAGCCTATTTTGATCCCCCTATGTCCGCATTGGGAATGAGCACAGCCACAGCCAGAAGGCGGATTCTCTGAGGCGAGGACATCAAGAATTGATGGATCACATCAGTGACATCATTCTCTGATGTCATGAGCTGTCAAATTTAAAATAGCTGTGGATCTAAAAAAAGCGCACTGCCAAGGTAATGTGGCACCCTATACAGGCCAATTCGCCTCCTCCCCCATACCAGATTGTCCCGGAAAGGATGCAGAACAGTCCCTGGGTCTCATCAAACCCCTCCCAAGCCTTTTCCGTCACTGAAGCGGTCAGCAGCAGGGGGTGGTCTGGGGTCCATGGATGGGCAACTCCCCACCCTGATGCATCCAGCATTCTGGGGAGTTCCCCAGTTTTAAATGCTTCACTAGCTGTATTGGCTGGAATTGATTCTATCTGACTCCAGGATGGCATCCCCAAGGTACCCACCTCTCCAACCAGGGTGAGGGAGAAGGCCCACTGGCACCACTCATCCTTCATCTCCTTCTCCTCTTGCCTCTTCAACCGCATCTCCTCCCCATTTGACGAGAACACCTCCATGTTCTCCAGGAGCAGCAACGGCTCCTCCTCCTGGCACCACACCAATGACCATGCATCAGTGGAAGAGGCCCAAGCCCCTGAGGTATGGATCACAGCTGGCGGTCAATACATGCCCTTGGCGCCCAACGGCAGCCCTCTATTCCGTCACCACCAGCCTATCGACCCGTTCACACCTTCCACCTCCGCCTCCGCATCGCCATCCACCAAATCACTCTTCATCAACCTCTCCTCATCAACCTCCTCTTCACGCCTTTCCCCTCCCGCCAACAAGCGCGAGTCCTTCCTCTCCCTCACCTCGACCAACTTGAACCGGTCCTCCCTCGTCCTCCCTTCATCCCATCCTCAACTTTCATCCCCTCATCCCTCCAGTCACCCTTAACCCGGAAACGCGAACGGCCCACCTTGATCCAGACCATGCCCCTCCCTTCGCGCAGCCATGTGTCGTCATTCTCCTTTCCTTACTCTGTCCCTAGCGGTGTTTCTCCTTGGAACGCCACCCACATCAACCTTTCTTCCACACACGAAAAGGATGCCATCTTCACCAGGGATATGAAAGCCGACTTCTTCCTCACCCTCGAGGAGGAGCCATCCTCCATTACCTCTTCTGCCATCGATGTTTCTATTTCTAAGACTGCGACTGTGAAGGGGCGGAGACCGTTCGACCTTGTCAGCGGGGTCAGTGGGTTCATGGGCGAAGAGGGCGAAGATGAGAGCTTGGACAATGAAGAAAATGGTGGAGGTTATGGTGGGTATGGTGCTTGAGACGCACTGGCAAGCAGTTCCATATCAATTTATTGACAAGCAATGCTTGAAGCTTGAAGAGGTGCACGACCAACAGACCAACAGACAGACCAACAGACCAACAGAATGACAGACCAACAGACCAACAGACCCAGGGTCAACGCATTGTAGAACGACAAAACTCCCCTCAACCAAGCATGGAGCTTGGAGATGATGGGGTGTAATTGATTAATCCTTTGTTATACACTGCCAGCATCCTATCCTGTACCCGTGTTGAGGCCTGTTCATCGTCATTGCCGGTGTATAGCTATGAAAGCAGCCAATTATCCCACCATGACCCCAGTGTGATGGTGACCCAGGCTGGGGGAGGTGAGTTGGAAGAATGTCGGAAATATCATGAACAGCATAGTCAAGAACAACATAAAGTGGTAACAAAACTGAATATGTAGGAAGTAGATATGTGATCTACATCTCCCTGGAAACTGGGTGGCCAAATGAAAATGAAAAGAGCCACTCCAACTTCAAGCAATCAGCCTCAGGCTCCTGCATAATTGCCTGCTGTATCTCGTCTTTGGAAGCTGAGTGCACAGCAGCATTGCCATGATCTCGTATATGGTTCCATGAGCATATCAGCTGTATGCAGTCCTCGGTGACTGCAATGCCAGAAGATGCAAAACAAGTGGAAACAAAGTTATGAAGCTGTGTGGAGGTGCAGCCTTCAACTATACATCCTCCCAGGAAGATTGTCCAAGGAGCATGAGGGTATGACCTCTGGCTTTGTCCAAGAGGACTCGCAGATGAAGGGGAGACAATGCGATAGTAAGCTGTGATGCAAAAAAGAGGTTGTGGTGAATCAACGAGATGTCGAAGAACATTCAAAGACATACCAAGCAAATGGCTTTGATGTCATGATCGCATTGGCGTTGGGAAGTTGCCAATTCTGCTTGAAGATTTGCAGCTGTGCCTTCAAGTCACTCAATATGGATCTCTTGCTGTGTGAGCTTTTCCTCGAACTCTTCCCTGTCCTTTGCCGCCTTTGCCTCAAGATCCTTCCTGGCCTTTGCCACCTTCACCTCGAGATCCTTCCTGTCCTTCGCTCTTTCCTTCTTCTCTTTCTCTGTGTCTTCCTTCAGGGTCTTCACCTCGTCTCGAACCTCCTTGAACAACGACACCAGGTCCAATTCAGTCTGTTCTGTTGGAAACGTATCAACAAAGCTAGCACTGACAAGAAGTCACCCAGCACAGAAAGACATACTCCTCTTGGTGAAATGCTGCTGAAACATTTGGGTTTCTTCACCCCGCAGGTGCACCAGGACATACACCTTCTCTGCGTTTGGCACCTCATCGAGCAGTGGGCGTCCCATGTCGACTGGTGAGTTTCATTAGCCAAATAATGGGAGAAATGCCAAAAAACTCACTCTCTGGAAATGTTGTATAGTCAAAACCTTGTTTGTACTTTAGAGTCAGATAAAAGGTATCCGAGAGTTGTTCAATGGCCATCGGGATCATTCGTTCCACAAGCTCCCCCAGTGTCCCACGCCCCTGACGAGAAATCTCCTGGTGACAATATCGTGCAGAATCATCAGCGATAATGAGCTCGATATTAGGGTAAATGATTTCTTCCAAGTTGGCCATTGCTGGAAGTACTGAGGCTGCAGGAGTGGGACGGTGTGAGGTTCTAAACATGTTGCACCAACAATAAACTGTGGAGCACACTTGGGTGATCACCCATATCTATCTATCTGTTTTTGTCTGGGGTCAACTTTAAAAGTTGACAGGCTCAACTGGAGTCTCCTTTCAACTTTGTTGTTGCCTGGCCAGTGCACGTGATTATAAAGCATGGACTCAATTGACCTTTGAGAAATTGCCCCGGGATGGGAGGGAGAGGAGTGCGGCCTTCAGTCGAATTTGATCAAGTAAATTTGAAATTTGAATAAAATAATTATGCAGTGCATCAAGTGGATTCATGACCCTTAAACCCGCTGGAAGTCACTCGGCACGACGGAGCGCCCCGCGTGACAGAGGGGCAAAGGTGAGCGGCACAATGAACGAATAAACTGATAAACTACAAGTAACTCAGGAGGGGCTTTAGGGGAGCTTAGATGCTTATCTTGGCTAGCGCCACATAGGGTCACGCCCAGCGCTTAGTGACGAAGTTTTGTTCCCATGTGAAGTGTGGACCTTTTTCCTTCAACTTGTCTCTCAACACTACCGACCATCTTGCCTGGGCCTTCTCATCATGGACAGCCACGAAACATGGCCAAAGAGTAGCCCCAAGAGCACTGTTGTTCGCCACCCAGAGTTCTACTTCGCTGATGGCTCCATCATCCTCATCATTGAGAAAACTGCTCTCCGCATCCACCAATCTGTCCTCACTCACCATTCTGAAGTCTTCAAGGGATTATGGGATGTCCCTCAGCTGTCGAAGCTGGAAATGTATGACGGCTGTCCTAGTGTTGTTCTCTCTGATTCGGTCAACAACCTCATCGATGTGATGAGGGTGATATATGATTCGTTGTGAGTACCTTTACTACCTCATGTCCATTCCACTGAGACAGCCCAGCCACTTTGACAAGATCGCACCGGAGACGAGCCTCATGGAGCTCGTTACATTCATCTCGGGGATCCTCAGGATAAGCACCAAGTACGGCATGCTGCAAATCCGGCAGAAGTGCATCAGCATCATCCAAGACAAGTTCCCTTCAATGCTCGCGGGCTGCGACAACATCTTGAGGTGCAAGATCCAGTACATGCCCTCTGAGATCATCCGAGTGATCCCCCTGGCACGTGAGATGAACATTCCCCATGTCCTTCCCTGGGCCTTCTACCTCTGCGCACAGATTTCCGTTGAGGAGCTGCTTGAGAACCAAATGCTTTCCTGGCAGGATAAGGCACTCTGCCTTGCAGGAAAGGAGAACCTTTGGGAGATGCAGTGTACTGTGACCCACACCTTTCTCCTCAATTTCTGGCCCTCTCCTCACTGTTCCACAGGATGCAAGATGCGTATGCCAACCACCTTCACCCTCAAGGATTTCGAGAGCCTTCGAACATCTCCACATCTTCTGGGGGAGTACCAAGATTGGACGGGACTTCGGTTATGTGCAAAGTGTCAGGCATTTGCTCAGGCGCAGCATCAGGAGGGGAGGGAGAAGGTCTGGCAGAAGCTTCCGGGTTTATTCCACCTTGGGACATGGGACGATATCTTCAAGGACCAGAGTTGTTGATATCCTCGATCCAGGTGTCGTCCCCTCTCTTTTTGTGTTCCTCCTTGCTTCCCCACCCTTATGCCACTATGCAATGCCCTTCTCGTTGTTCATGGTCTCTTTCATTTTCCACCAATCCCGCTGTTTAAACACTCGATGTCCATGTATATGATTGATCGCAGATATACTCTTAACTGTATGCTAATTGTATGTATCCTAATGCTCAATTACACTCTTGTCGCAACTCACGAAGACGTCTTACAAGAACCAAACACCAGCGCCATGCGGATTCTGACCATCACTTCATTGCTTTCCGCAAGACAAGATGCGCCAGCTGAAGCCAGGCGGTAGGCGTTGAAAGGGTTGACGAGCATGCTGCGAGAGGCTCAATTTGTGAGTGATCCTTTTTGTTGTCCATTCCCCCGAGTCTGATGGCGGACAGGTCAGTCAATCAGGGAGGATTGTAACTGGGTGTCCACGCTTGGGAGCTCAGATTCTTTGCGCATTCGCACCACCTGTCGGCTAGGTTGAATTACCGTTCATCAACTCGAAGCCATGTCTCGAAGTTCATTTTACATGCCATCTACCTCTCATTGTCAATACGGGAGCCAAAGCAAACAGAATGAGGCCAGCTGAAGGCACTGTCCCCTGGTCAAATACCCTCGCTTCTCTGCACGTCCTGGCCCAAACCACCTCCACCCTCCCCACAGTCTTTCCTGTGCCCACAACAACACCGCTGGCTGCAGCGATCAACATTGGTTACATCTAAAGACAACCAAGCACCATCGAGGAGAGATAGCGCCCTGACAGACCCTCACCAAAGACTCCCGGAGATTGAGGACCTCCTGCCTATTGCACTCCTCTCCGCAATCGTTGTCATTCTTGTGAGCTACATTTACCCTGAGGCGCTGCTCATAGCAAGCCCCTCACTTGCCATTGCCCTTCTATGGTGGTCTGTGCTGGACAAAAATACAATGTAAATGAATTTCAGTGACGATTGTGGCAGAACACGGAAGAAAGTCAGGGAATGGTCACAATAGCCAAGGAACGGTCATGATCGTCAAAGAATATTGATGTTCTTTGACGATCGGCACAGAAAGTTACCTTTTTTGGCAAGATGTTAACAATAATCAAAGAATGTCACCCCACAGAATGTCACCGTTCGTGACCGATCTGTTGACAGAGGCCAAAACAAATGAGAATTTGTCTTGACATGGCCTGGCCTATTCTTCCAGTTTCTTCAAGAATCTCTGAGACCCCGAACTGCCTCCATGATGCCACACCATGTGTGGGTTTCATATGCCAGGCCTACGCCGGCTGCTCTGCTTGCATGCTGACTAACAGTCGGGCCGTGGGGACCCACCAATCTTAGTCAGTGGGGAAGAAATACCTCGCTGACTAAGATTGGCAGGGTCCCATGGCACGCTGACTAAGTTGTTGCTCCCGCCCTTCTCATTACTGTTGTGGACAGCAAGCTCACTGTTCACACCATTTCTGGTCCATTTCCCTCCATTTTTTTTGCTAGTATCAATGTATGTAGTTATTAATGAAGTTATGTAACATATATACTGTTGTAAACCCCCATAAGCTGTATAAAATGCGAAAACAATAATATGAATAACAGTCCCTCATCCATACCCAGCCCTAGGCATATTCCCCAGCCCAGGAAGCATCTGGAGTATTTAATATAGACACATGTATGAGTGGGAAGGCCACCATCCAGGTTATGGGAGTGGCAGGATATACAGTATCATGGTGATTAATGTACCTCTCCTCCTACCCCTCTTCCACACACCAATAATGCAACTATTACTATGGTTAGTAGCTCAATTTAATGGTACTACAATAGCGCATTTTTAGGGCCCTCTATTCGAGCCATTTGTGGTTTGAAGGGAGAGGGTATGACCCATGACCCTCAACAGTAGATATTTTATTAAAGAACCATACATGTGTTTATGGCCAATTTGACTTTGTAGATACTTAATAGTATTATGCTTTAGTATATATATGTATTTAAATATGGAGCGCCGCACATGTGGGCAAAGATATGAGGAGGGGGAGGAGGAGCACATACCTCATCAGTCACCATGTCCTCCTGTCACAAATAGCGCATATCGCATGCTCTAGGTAGACTCTATGGGTGTGTAATATGTATACCTTGATATTTTAGTAGTCACAGTTAGAGAATAGATGCTTGGGTGAGATGGTATTAAAGCAAGGAGGATATCTGCATAAAAAGCATGAAAATTGTCCACTGTCACATAAATACATCAAGTAAAAATAATATATATACCTAGGCATATACTCATACATTCTAAGAGCCAGCTGAAAAAGAGTTTACAAAATTAGAGCAAGATTGAGGTGAGATATGGATGAGACAGTGAATTTTGAAGGGCAGATAGTAAGCTGCAAATTATAGTCACATGTAGTGACTGAGTTTCTGCCCTTCAAAATTCACTGTCTCATCCATATCTCACCTCAATCTTGCTCTAATTTTGTAAACTCTTTTTCAGCTGGCTCTTAGAATGTATGAGTATATGCCTAGGTATATATATTATTTTTACTTGATGTATTTATGTGACAGTGGACAATTTTCATGCTTTTTATGCAGATATCCTCCTTGCTTTAATACCATCTCACCCAAGCATCTATTCTCTAACTGTGACTACTAAAATATCAAGGTATACATATTACACACCCATAGAGTCTACCTAGAGCATGCGATATGCGCTATTTGTGACAGGAGGACATGGTGACTGATGAGGTATGTGCTCCTCCTCCCCCTCCTCATATCTTTGCCCACATGTGCGGCGCTCCATATTTAAATACATATATATACTAAAGCATAATACTATTAAGTATCTACAAAGTCAAATTGGCCATAAACACATGTATGGTTCTTTAATAAAATATCTACTGTTGAGGGTCATGGGTCATACCCTCTCCCTTCAAACCACAAATGGCTCGAATAGAGGGCCCTAAAAATGCGCTATTGTAGTACCATTAAATTGAGCTACTAACCATAGTAATAGTTGCATTATTGGTGTGTGGAAGAGGGGTAGGAGGAGAGGTACATTAATCACCATGATACTGTATATCCTGCCACTCCCATAACCTGGATGGTGGCCTTCCCACTCAAACATGTGTCTATATTAAATACTCCAGATGCTTCCTGGGCTGGGGAATATGCCTAGGGCTGGGTATGGATGAGGGACTGTTATTCATATTATTGTTTTCGCATTTTATACAGCTTATGGGGGTTTACAACAGTATATATGTTACATAACTTCATTAATAACTACATACATTGATACTAGCAAAAAAAATGGAGGGAAATGGACCAGAAATGGTGTGAACAGTGAGCTTGCTGTCCACAACAGTAATGAGAAGGGCGGGAGCAACAACTTAGTCAGCGTGCCATGGGACCCTGCCAATCTTAGTCAGCGAGGTATTTCTTCCCCACTGACTAAGATTGGTGGGTCCCCACGGACTGTTGCAAG